AGGGTGGTATATAGGACGTTAAAATCTTCTGGGGAGGCCCTGCTCTCGATCCTGCCTGCATCACAAGTACGTTTGGCGGGGATGAGAGACAGGGCCTTCTCAGTTATGGCCCCTCAGCTGTGGAACGCCCTTCCTACAGATATTAGATCGGCCCGCTCCCTGTTAGCATTTTGGAGGAAAGTGAAGACCTGGTTGTTCAAGCAGGCAGTGTAACTAATATGGAACAATTGGATGATGAGACTGGATCTTGATTTTAACTATGAGACGTTATGAGATGTTACATGATATTTAATTTATTGTTATAACGCTATTGTTTTAATTGTTTTCCACTGTTTTATGATGTTTTAAGCATTGAATTTTGCTATTGTGAACCGCTCTGAGGTTCTGAGACGAGCGGTATACAAATATAGTAAATAAATATATACAGTAAGTAAGTAAATAAATAAATCAACAATAACAAAGTATAGATTGTCGATGTTGCAATCCCAGGTGACAGCAGGATTGAAGAGGAACAACTGGAAAAGCTGACACGATACAAGGATTTAAAGATTGAACTGCAAAGACTGGCACAAGCCGGTCAAAAGGGTCCCAGTGGTGATCGGCACACTGGGTGCAGTGCCTCAAGACCTTGGCCTGCACTTAAACACAATTGGCGCTGACAAAATTACCACCAGTCAGCCACAAAAGGCCACTGTACTTGGATCTGCATGCATTATTTACCGATACATCACACAGCCCTAGACACTTGGGAAGGGTCCGACTTGTGATCCAATACAACAGCCAGCTGAGTGTCTGCAGTGGACTCATCTTGTTGTGTTTCAAATAATAATAATAATAATAATAATAATAATAATAATAATAATAACAATAACAATAATAACAACACGTCCTAGACACTTGGGAAGGGTCCGACATGTGATCCAATACAACAGCCAGCAGAGTGATCTTGTCTGCTGTGGACTCATCTTGTTGTGATTCAAATAATAATAATAATAATAATAATAATAATAATAATAATAATAATAATAATAACAATAACACGTCCTAGACACTTGGGAAGGGTCCYACATGTGATCCAATACAACAGCCAGAAAAGTGATCTTGTCTGCTGTGGACTCATCTTGTCGTGTTTCTAATAATAATAATAATAATAATAATAATAATAATAATAATAATAACAATAACATGTCCTAGACACTTGGGAAGTGTTCAACTTGTGATTTTGAGAGACGAAATCCAGCATATAGATCTCATTTGCTGTGACATACTGTGTTTTTGTGTCAATGATGATGATGATGATGATGGAAGAGACCATAAGGGCCATCTAGTCCAACCCTATCCTGCCTTCATGCAGGAAAAACACAAAGCCTATTTGACAGATGGCCACCCAGCCTCAATAATAATAATGTTGGAAGAGACCCTAAGGGTCATCTAGTCCAACCCCATTATGTCTTGCAGGAAAAGCACAATCAAAGCACCCCCAACAGATGACCACCCAGCCTTTGTAGTGATGGTGATGATGATGATGATGATGGACGAGAACGTAAGGGCTATCGCAGAGCCTCAAAGGCTCCCCGGAGCACGCTTTGAGAACTGCTGTTCTAGACACTAAATTCCCATTGACACAAACTAGGATTGGCCTTTTGAGCTGCCGCATCATACTCCTGGCTCACGTTCAGATCATGTTCTGCGGAGACTCCAGGATCCCTTTCCCATGGATTGTCTCCTATCCTATAGGGAAGACACCCCAAAGGGTCGGAAATAACACGTCCTTGGGGCGGGTTGGTTTGTTACACACTCTTTAATAACGACAAGACGAATACATTCTGACACGAGGCCCCGTGGTGCAAGGCCCTTAAGACTTCTGTGTGGGGCGGAGGGCGGAGGTGCCATTGACTTTCCTCTTGTCAATATGTACAAAAAAGGGGAAACGAGTCCTCTTTTGTGTGCACGAGGAGTGTGCGCGTGTGCAAAACACTTATTGTCAAAGCTTGGAGCGATGCAACGAGGCAGAAAAGAAAACGAGGCACGGCGTTTGCATCCTTCCTGCATGGATAGCATGGATTCCTCCCCACTTCTCTTCTTTGTATATGGAAAACGTTATTATGGGATGCGGGGGGTGAAATGGGGCCGGCAGGAAAGCATTTGCACATTCGTGCCAAATATATTTTGCAAAAGGCACAGAGCAAGCGGCTTATGGGCTGTTGGTGACGGCTAACGAACCTCGAGGAGGAGGATGCTCCAAAAACATTGGTGAGAACAGGGGCGCAGTTATCATTATGAGTATTATTATTTTGGAAATCGCCCCATTCAAAGGCGGCCCTAGGTAATTTTCAATGGTAAGCAAGCAGTATTTTGCCCCCCCCCCCCCACAACCAATCATTGATATATATTTTCTGTTCGTTGTGGGAGTTCTGTGTGCCATATTTGGTTCAATTCCATCATTGGTGGAGTTCAGAATGCTCTTTGATTGTAGGTAAACTATACATCCCAGTAACTGCAACTACAACTGAAGAGGATCAGCCGGTAGCGAGGCAAGGAAGCCAAGGCTCCCCCCGGACTGCTAGGGCTGTTGTGAGGTGAGGGGGCGCTCCTCAAGTAGCGGTTGAGGGGCATTTACAGAGGCGGCTCTGCGCCCCTGGCAAAAAAAAGTGTTCTGCGACTGCTTACTTTGCGTAATGGACGAGCCGCCCCTGGCCCCATTTCTGAACCTTCCTCGGTATGACAAATGGCAAGCTTGTTCCGTTTCAGAGCAACCGGCACGTCCTTCCTCAAGTGTTTTTATTTTTGTGTTCGAAAGGACGAGGAAAATGTTTCAAACTTTCCGAATAATTAATTATTAAGCGCTTGCCCGTATTTGCCCGGCGTCTGAACTGGCTTCTTATCTCTGTTTGCCCTGCAAAGCTATCAGAAGTGGTCTAGACACAACACTTTCAGAAATATTCACAACTCAACTGGTTTATGGGATTAAAAAAAAGTTTTGTCAAAAACGTGGGGTTTTCGGATGCTGAGTGCTGCATTCTGGGAAACATAGTTCAGGGCAGGGCCTTTTGCAATCTCTGGCTTAGGGCTTCCCAGAATTGTGTGTTTTTTTAGCCTCTTTCCCAGCTCACTTTGTCTCTTCTTCATCTGAAAAGGAATGGCAGCCTTTTCGGCTTTGCTTTGTTTGTTTGCACTGAAAATCAAACTGACTTCCGAGCATTACAGAATCCAAATGTCCAGCCCCAGTTTTGACAAAAACGTGGGGCTTTTGGATGCTGAGCGCTGCATTCTGGGAAATGTAGTTGAGGGCAGGGCCTTTTGCATTCTCGACATAGGGCTTCTCGCCCTCCCAAACTGCATTTCCCAGAATTCTGTGTTTTTTTCAGCCTCTTTCCCAGCTCACTCTGTCTCTTCTTCAACTTAAGAGGCATGGCAGCCTTTTTGGCTTTGCTTTGCTTGTTTGCGCTGAAAATGAAACTGACTTCTGAGCATTACAGAATCTAAATGTCCAGCCCCAGTTTTGACAAAAACGTGGGGCTTTCAGATGCTGAGCGCTGCATTCTGGGAAATGTAGTTTAGGGCAGGGCCTTTTGCAATCTCTGTCTTAGGGCCCGCGACGGCCAAACGAATTTCCAAATTCGCGTTTTTTTAGCTCTTTCAGCGCACGCATCTCTGCTTGACTAAGGAATGGCACCGGGGGGGGCGGTGGCGGTCGGATGTGTGCGGAAATCAACTGCCTTCGAGCTTACAGATCCAATGTCCAGCCCAAGTTGACAAAACGTGGGTTTTCGAGGCGAGCGCGCAATGCTGGAAATGTAGGGGAGCTGGCCCTTTTGCATCGCGACAGAGGCTGCTCGTCTTCCAAAGTTGCAGGGTCCGAAGTCTATGGGGTTTGCAGCCTCTGGCACCACACCGCGGTCCTGGGCCAGCGAAGAGGAACGCAGCCGGGGGGGCGTGGCGGGGCGTGGTGGCGCGAAATGAAACGGACGTCCGAGCAGTACAGAAGCTAAATGTCAGCCCCATGGTGACAAAACGGGGGTGTTCCGAGGGGAGGGCGAGTCTGGGAAAGGTAGTGCAGCAGGGCAGGTTGGGGGCGCGACATAGCCACCCGGGCCTGCCCAACGGCGGGCCCTAAGGCTGGGGGGTGCGCCGCTTCCCAGCGCCGCGGCGCGGCGTCAGCAAAGAAAACGTCAGCCTGGGGGGGCGGGGGCGGGGGTGGCAACGGAGGAAAAAACGGCACATGAAACTCCAGAGGGGGCGGGGGAGGCGGAAGGGGGGGGGCCCGCCCTCCCGACGGCCCACCCGGGCGTAAGAGAGATTGGGCGATAGACAAACGGGAATGGGAGACACGGGCAGTGAAAAACCAAGAGGGGCACGCCCCAAAGCGAGACTGAGATGGATAGATGAGATGCCATAGGATAACCACGGGGGAGGGAGCGGGGAAGGTCTCTTCCAACTCTTTGACTATACGCATGGGCAAACTTGGCCCTCCAGGGTGTGGACTTCAACTCCCACAATTCCTAACAGCCGGTAGGCTGTTAGGAATTGTGGGAGTTGCAGTCCAAAACACCTGGAGGGCCAGAGTTTGCCAATGTCTGCTCTGTATAATCTAATGGGACGTGTGTGACCCTCCAGTTGTGGTTGGAGTGCAATTCCCATTAATTCTTGGAGTGACTGGGGAGAGTGGGACTCACAGTCCAATTGTGAAGAGCCCCAAGTCATGAGTTCCTCCTATGCTGGACTACACCTCCCATTGCTCACAGTGCCCAGAATGATGGGCATTTCGGAGGAAGCTGATTATTAGGATGTCCCTTCCTTTCTACGTGTTTTTCCCCCCACTGAGACCAAACACATTCCTCTCCTTTGGCTCCGAGAGTGGGATAAACAGGCCGTTTCCTGCCCCTAATCAACCTTTGGGGAGGATGAGGAACATTCTCAAAGGACTGGCTTTTCTTTCCTGTTGCAGCAGAAGGAGGAAGGCCAAAAAAAATGGAAGAAAATTCAAAAAGGAAAGTATCTCGAGTCATAAAATGGAACTCCTTTACTTTGGAGAGCCCCCGCCCGTGCGCCCGCCTGCCCTCACACACCCGGCCGTTGCGCTTCACTTCAGGGCGTCCAGGTGCGTGCAGACTTGCTGGAAGACGTCGTCCACCGTGCCTTCGGCGTTGAGCTGCAGGTGAGAGAAGGAAGGAGGAGAAAGATGTGCAATAATAATAATAATAATAATAATGTCTCAAATGTAGACTCTGCAAGGAAGCAGAAGAAACAAGAGATCCCATCCTCAGCTGCTGCAAGAAGATCGCGCAGACAGACAGACTCCAAGCAGAGGCACAACACCCTTGCTCAGATGATTCATTGCAACTTGTGCCACAAATACCATCTGCCTGCGACAAAGAACTGGTGGGATCACAACCCTGAAAAAGTTACACAAAAATGAACACGTCAAACTCCTCTGGGACTTCCGAATTCAGACTGACAGAGTTTTGGAGCACAAGACTCCTGACCATGCGGTTGTGTTAGAAAACCAAGTATGAATCATCGACAGCAGGATTGCAGAGAAACAACTGGAAAAGCTGACACAATATGAGGATTTAAAGATCGAACTGCAAAGACTCTGGCACAAGCCAGTCAAGGGGGTCCCAGTGGTGATCGGCACACTGGGTGCAGTGCCTCAAGACCTTGGCCTGCACTTAAACACAATCGGTGCTGACAAAATTACCATTGAGTCCCCTTTGGGGTGAGAAGGGCGGAATCTAAATGTTTTAAATAAATAAATAAATAAATCTGCCAGCTGCAAAAGGCCACTTTACTGGGATCTGCATGCATCATTTGCCGATACATCACACAGTCCTAGACACTTGGGAAGTGTCCCACGTGTGATCCAATACAACAGCAGAGTGATCTTGTATGCTATGGACTCATCTTGTTGTGTTTCAAACACAAGACACCTAGTAACTCAAGGAGTGACCATAACTCAAAAAATTGATTTTGTCATTTGGGAGTTGTAGTTGCTGGGATTTATAGTCCTTAAACACAATAGCGCTGACAAAATTACCATCTGCCAGCTGCAGAAGCCACCTTACTGGGATCTGCACACATTATTCCAATACATCACACAGTCCTAGACACTTGGGAAGTGTGATGTGTGATCCAATACAACAGCCAGCAGAGTGTCTTCTGCTGTGGACTCATCTTGTTGTGTTTCAAATAAATAATAATAATAATAATAATAATAATAATAATAATAATAATACTTTGTTCAATGTGTTGTCGAAGGCTTTCATGGCCGGAATCATTGGGTTGTTCTAAGTTGTAACACTCAAAAACATGGGAACTCCAGACAAGAAACAATCAGGGACAGCTAATCACCTCCCAACAAAGAATTCCCCCAGGCAGTAAGAAGCCACACCTTGAAAGTACTAGGCCATTAAATGCTAATTAAGGTGACGAAGTGATACATGCACACTTATCTTCAGCAGACAAGAATTCTTCCTCCCACCCTAGACATTCCGCACACAGGTGTGTATATGTGTGTGTGTGTGTGTGTGTGTGTGTGTTCCTCCAGAGAGATTAGATAGAGATAAGCATATCCTAGATAGGGCTGGGCGGTTTCGTTCGTTAATTCGTAATTCGTTATTAATTCGTATTTAAATTAGCTTACGATCCGATATTGAGCCATGCAGGAGCAATTAAAAATCGAAAAAATTGTTTCGAAATTGTTTCGTAATTGTTTCGTAATTGTTTCATAATTGTTTCCGTATGTCTGGTGCAAGTTTTAGGGTTGTTGTTTGTTTTATCAGTGATAAAAAATAAATTATCACACCAACAGTCAACAACAGAGGGAGAGGGAAGCTTCAGAAGTTCCCCCTGTCCCATTTGGAGGGGTTTTTAGCGTATTGCGCAATCGCGTCCGCCATTAACGAATCGATTCGTAATTTTACAAAATTTCGTATATTTCGAACTTTTTTAAAGGAAAATTTCGGAATTCTTTAAAAAAACAAAACGCAAGGGCCCCCCTAAAAACAAAACGAGTTTAGAACCAAATTTTTCCGTGGTTACCCAAGCCTAATATATATATGTATATATGTGTGTGTGTGTGTATATATATACATACATATATATACACGTGCATATATATATATATATATATATACACACACACACACACACAATTTTCCCAGTTTCCAACAAACCTCACAACCTCTGAAAATGCTTGCCATAGATGGGGGTGAACCATCAGGAGAGAATGCTTCTGGACTATGGTCAGACAGCCCGGAAAATGCACAGTCGCCCAAGGATTCTGACCATGAAAGCCTTCAACAACAGGTTAATGCTATTTTCCCATGCCTCCCCCAAAACAATTCAGAGGTCTTTTTTGCTCTTGATTCTTCCAAGGATGGGAACCAGGTGGTCCTCCAGACACGTGGCTGGGCTTCGGGTCCCATTTGGAAGAGCCAGAGGAGGGATGCTGGGAGTCGCAGTCCAGCATCCCCTGGAAAGAGAGGAGGAGGGAGGGCTCCCTGACTGCCACTCCTGCCCTGGACTTTTGGGTTTGTGCACACCCGGAAAGGATGTCGGGCCCACGCACCTTGCGGACGATGCCCCTCTTCTCGTAGAAGGCGATGACGGGCTCGGTGGCCTTGTAGTATGTGTCCAGGCGCTTCTTGATGGTCTCCTCGTTGTCATCCACCCGGCCGCTGGTCTCGCCCCGCTTCAGCAGGCGCTTCACCATGGTGTCTTTCCCAGCGTCCACGTACAGCAGCAACGTGGGGGCCGCGATCTGAGCAGGAAGGCCATTGGGGAGAGAAAGAGGAAGGCTGTCACACTAAGTCATACACAAATGACCAGCCACTGCCAGAAGGGACAGAGAGTTTCATCTATGCTGACGATCGTGCCATCACCACCCAAGCAGGGAGCTTTGAGATGGTTGAACAGAAGCTCTCTGAAGCTTTAGGTGCTCTTACTGCCTATTACAGGGAAAACCGGCTTGCTCCATCCATGTTTAACATTTACACAAATGATCAGCCACTGCCAGAAGGGACAGAGAGTTTCATCTTTGCTGACGATCGTGCCATCACCACCCAAGCAGGGAGCTTTGAGATGGTTGAACAGAAGCTCTCTGAAGCTTTAGGTGCTCTTACTGCCTATTACAGGGAAAACCGGCTTGCTCCATCCATGTTCAACATTTACACAAATGACCAGCCACTGCCAGAAGGGACAGAGAGTTTCATCTATGCTGATGATCGTGCCATCACCACCCAAGCAGGGAGCTTTGAGATGGTTGAACAGAAGCTCTCCAAAGCTCTAGGTGCTCTTACTGCCTATTACAGGGAAAACCAGCTTATTCCTCCATGTTCAACATTTACACAAATGACCAGCCACTGCCAGAAAGGACAGAGAGTTTCATCTATGCTGACGATCGTGCCATCACCACCCAAGCAGGGAGCTTTGAGATGGTTGAACAGAAGCTCTCTGAAGCTTTAGGTGCTCTTACTGCCTATTACAGGGAAAGCCCGCTTACTCCATCCATTTTTAACATTTACACAAATGACCCGCCACTGCCAGAAAGGATGGAGAGTTTCATCTATGCTGACGATCGAGCCATCACCTCCCAAGCGGGGAGCCTTGAAATGGTTGAACAGAAGCTCTCTGAAGCTTTAGGTGCTCTTACTGCCTATTACAAGGGAACCCAGCTTACTCCATCCATGTTTAACATTTACACAAATGACCAGCCATTGCCAGAAAGGACAGAGAATTTCCTCTATGCTGACGATTGTGCCATCACCGCCCAAGCAGGGAGCTTTAAGATGGTTGAACAGAAGGTCCCTTTACCCTCCAGGAAACGCACCCATTCTCTATCACCAAGGTGAAGCCCTTCCTTCCCTGCCCACCAGAGCCAACCGCTCCTGCCCTTTACCTTCTTCTCGAATTCTTCCCCCTGTTTCACCTCCCGGGGGTAGCCGTCAATCAAGAAGCCCTTGGAGACGCCCGCCTTGGCCACCATGGCGTCCCTCAGCATGTCCAGAACCGTGTCCTGTGGGCGGAAACGGAGGAAAGTGAGTGACACCTGGCAGGAAGACAGGAGGAAGAAGTTCCCGGCAGAAGTTGTGTATGTTTTTAATTCTTCATATACCAAAATATCACTGTATACCAAACAAAAACAAAAATGATGCAACGGCTCAAAGAAGATGGCCAAACTCACCAGAGGGACCAGCTCTCCCTTCTCCATGATAGCCGACAGCTTCTTCCCCCGGTCCGAGCCGGAGCTGACCTCTGCGCGCAAGAGGTCGCCGGTGGACAGGTGCGTGTAGCCATACTTCTGGACGATCCTTTCGCACTGGGTCCCCTTCCCCGAGCCGGGCCCCCCTGCAAGCCGAACAGGGTGGTCAGCCAACAACCTGGGCCTTTTTGAGACAGGCTCCAGGAAGTGCATGCTGTGGCCTGGTCAGAGCCTGAGTGCTCAGGAGAGGAGGAAGGGGATGCTGGGGTAGATTCAGAGGGCCCAGAGGAGGATAGAAGTGGCCCGGAGAGAGTTGTCGTGGAATCTCCTGGCAGTTCTCACCAGACGGGAGAAAGCGAGATCAGTTCTCATGAGAATCTGCCTGGCTGAGAGAAATGTGGGAGACTAATGTTTGTCTAGGTCAAGATGATTGGAATATAACCCGAAAAAACCTACAACAACCCAGTGATTGGAATTGCGGAGACAGGGCAACAAAGACAGACTCGCTTTTCCCAGAGGCTTAGAGATAAGGAGAGGGAAAGCAGGTGTATGAGGAATGATGTTATGGGAGGGATGGAGGCCTTTTAAATGGGTTCCTGCTGGTAAAACCTTTGTGAGAACAATACTGTATTCAGGTGAACAGCTCTGTTTTTGGTCCTATGTTCTTGGAATTCATGTACAATAACCCTTTATCCCATTTCTGTCTGCTCCATCTATAGTGTTGTCCCTATGATGCACTTTCCCCCGTCCTAAACTGAAAGCCTGACCCCACTGTTTATCCTTTTTGGGTTTCCCTCAATTACATATCTTCTATTCCTACCTCATCCAGGGTTTTATCATTTTACCTCGTGCATTCGGCCTGCCCATTCTGTTCGATTTTATATTGCGTTAATTTGTTTTGTCTATTTTATTTTGCTAGTGTACGTATTTTATTCTGATGTAATTTTTTGTTGTCTCTATTCTGTATTTTATTTTGCTGTATTGTACCTTTGGGCTTGGCCTCATGTTAGCTGCCCCGAGTCCCCTTTGGGCAGATGGTGGCGGGGTATAAATAAAGATTATTATTATTATTACTATTACTATTACTATTATTATTATTATTATTAAGTGCTGGCTGAGAGAAATGCGGGAGACTAACTGGTTTAGGTCAAGGTGCTTGGAATTGCAGAGACAGGGCATGCAACAAAGACAGACTCACTTTTCCCGAGGCTTACAGTTAAGGAGAGGCGAAGCAGGTGTGTGCACAATGATGTTATGGGAGAGAGTGACGCCTTTTAAAGTGGTTCCTCCTTTAAATTGGTACAACTCTTTGTGAGAGCAATGTTCAGGTGAACAGCTCTCGGTTTTTGGTCCTATGTTCTCAAAATTCATGCACAATAACCCCTGACCTGACCAAACCCTGCATAAAATGCCCTCGGAAGCCCTTTATTTTACCTCTTAGTGCAATTAAACCCTACTTCGTCCCTCGCATCCCCTGTCCAGATACATTACATTGCTCTCTCACCCAGTGTTTTCAAACTTTTAATCTTTGCAACCGGCCCTGCCCACTGTGATCAACTTTCTGAGTTCAAATATTGTCATTTTATATTGCTATGTTTTCATTTGTTTTATGCATTATTATTGTTCCTTATTTGCATTTTCGGTTTTATTTTATGTAATTGTTGTTTTGGGCTTGGCCTCATGTAAGCCGCACTGAGTCCCCATCGGGGAGACGGTGGTGGGGTCATAGAATCATAGAATCATAGAATCAAAGAGTTGGAAGAGACCTCCTGGGCCATCCAGTCCAACCCCATTCTGCCAAGAAGCAGGAATATTGCATTCAAATCACCCCTGACAGATGGCCATCCAGCCTCTGCTTCAAAGCTTCCAAAGAAGGAGCCTCCACCACACTCCGGGGCAGAGAGTTCCACTGCTGAACGGCTCTCACAGTCAGGAAGTTCTTCCTCGTGTTCAGATGGAATCTCCTTTCTTGTAGTTTGAAGCCATTGTTCCATTGTGTCCTAGTCTCCAAGGAAGCAGAAAACAAGCTTGCTCCCTCCTCCTCCCTGTGGCTTCCTCTCACATATTTATACATGGCTATCATATCTCCTCTCAGCCTTCTCTTCTTCAGGCTAAACATGCCCAGCTCCTTAAGCCGCTCTTCATAGGGCTTGTTCTCCAGACCCTTTATCATTTTAGTCGCCCTCCTCTGGACACATTCCAGCTTAGTCAACATCTCTCTTGAATTGTGGTGCCCAGAATTGGACACAATATTCCAGGTAAAGTGGTCTAACCAAAGCGGAATAGAGCATGGGGAGCAGGACTTCCCTGGACCTAGACACTAGGCTCCTCTTGATGCAGGCCAAATCCCATTGGCTTTTTTTGCCGCCACATCACATTCCTGGCTCATGTTTAACTTGTTGTCCACGAGGACTCCAAGATCTTTTTCACACGTCCTGCTCTCGAGCCAGGTGTCCCCCATTTTGTCTCTTTGCATTTCGTTTTTCCTGCCAAAGTGGAGTATCTTGCATTTGTCACTGTTGAACTTCATTTTGTTAGTTTTGGCCCATCTCTCTAATCTGTCAAGATCATTTTGAATCCTGCTCCTGTCCTCTGGAGTATAATAATTATTATTATTATTATTATTATTATTATTATTATTACTACTACTATTATGATTATTGTTAAAAGATTGGTTCTTGCTTCCAGTTCATGCGTGGCATAGGTTGCCTGCCTTGGATTCATGCTATTTTGTTTATGGATATATTTGTGGAGTGGCTCTGAAGACTGTATTTGAAAGGATTGTGGATTCTCGGCTACTAATATCAGCAACGATGGACTACTTACCTTTCCATATCCCTCCTAGTATTTGTGGTGCCAGGACTCACCCTCCACTCTACTCCACACCTGCCTTCTGTTTACAACAGGCATGGGCAAACTTCAGCCTTCCAGGTGTTTTGGACTGCAACTCCCACAATTCCTAACAGCCGGTAGGCTGTTAGGAATTGTGGGAGTTGCAGTCCAAAACACCTGGAGGGCCGAAGATGAAACAAATGAGAGTAAACAAGACCAAGAGAAATATTCTCCAAGCCACTAACTTACCTACAACAAAGATGATCTTGTGGTTTTTCAATTTCTCTGTAGAGGAAGGAACCAAAGGAAATGATCACAAACAAATATTTTCTGGGAGAGATGCCAATCATCATCGTCACGATTGTCCTGCTTTTACCCCTCGACTGAGGCCCTGTCTAGATCTCCGTATAATCCAGATAATCAAAGCAGGTAATCCACATTATGATCTGCTTTGAACTGGATTATCTGGGTCTATACATTGCTATATAATCCAGTTCAAAGCACACTAAAAGTTACATACAAAAAGCGTATCTCTATAAAACAATATTAAAACACACAAAGTAGATATATTATTATTAACAATTTCATATGGACAATTTCAACAGAAAGGAGGAAACCATGAAAATGAACAAAATCTGGCTATCAGTATTAAAAAACTCTAAAATTAGAACAGCACAACAGAGAGGAAACAAACAAGGACATGTAATCACCTCTCAACAAAAGATTGCTCCAGGCACTGCCAGGCAATCAAATGCTAATCAAGGTGGTCAGTTGAAACATTCACCCCTTAGCTCCAGCAGAAAAGAGTTCTTTGTCCCACCCTGGTCATTCCACAGATATATAAACCCTTTTTCCTAGTTCCAACAGACCTCACTACCTCTGAGGATGCTTGCCACAGATGCAGGCGAAACGTCAGGAGGGAATGCCTCTAGACCATGGTCATATAGCCCGAAAAAAACCTACAACAACCCAGTGATTCCGGCCATGAAAGCCTTCGACAATAATTATTATTAGCTGCACCTGCCACATGTTACTGTGGGCAACCTTCCCTCCCTCTTTCTCTCCTTCCTTTGCTCCCTCTTTTCTTCTTTCCTTCCCTTTTCTTCTTTCCTTCTCTCCTTCCTTCCTTCCTTCCTTCCTTCTCTTTCCCCTTTCCCCTTTTTCTTTTCCTTCCTCTTTCTCTCCTTTTTCCTTCTCTACCTCTTTCCTTCCTTCCTTCCTTTTGCTTCCATCCTTCCTTCCTTTCCTTCTTCCTTCCCTCCCTCTTTCTCCCTTCTCTCCCTTTTTTCTTTCCCTTTTGTTTTCCTTCTTTCTCTCCTTTCTTCCTTCTCTACCTTTTTCCTTCCTTCCTTTGCTTTTTGCTTCCATCCTTCCTTCTCTTTCCTTCCTTCCTTCCCTCCCTCTTTCTCTCCTTTCTTCCTTCTCTACCTCTTTCCTTCTTTCCCTTTTCTTTTCCTTCTCCTTTCTCTCCTTTCTTCCTTCTCTACCTCTTTCTTTCCTTCATTCGCTTTTTGCTTCCATCCTTCCTTCTCTTTCCTTCTTCCCTTCCCTCCCTTTCTCTCCTTTCTTCCTTCTCTACCTCCTTCCTTCTTTCCCTTTTCTTTTCCTTCTCCTTTCTTCCTTCTCTACCTCTTTCCTTCCTTCCTTTGCTTTTTGCTTCCATCCTTCCTTCTCTTTCCTTCTTTCATTCCCTCCCTCTTTCTCTCCTTTCTTCCTGCTCTACCTCTTTCCTTCCTTCCTTTGTTTTTTGCTTCCATTCTTCCTTCTCTTTCCTTCTTTCCTTCCCTCCCTCTTTCTCTCCTTTCTTCCTTCTCTACCTCCTTCCCTCTTTCCCCCTTTTCTTTCCCTTCTCCTTTCTCTCCTTTCTTCCTTCTCTACCTCTTCCCTTCCTTCCTTTGTTTTTTGCTTCCATTCTTCCTTCTCTTTCCTTCTTTCCTTCCCTCCCTCTTTCTCTCCTTTCTTCCTTCTCTACCTCCTTCCCTCTTTCCCCCTTTTCTTTCCCTTCTCCTTTCTCTCCTTTCTTCCTTCTCTACCTCTTCCCTTCCTTCCTTTGTTTTTTGCTTCCATTCTTCCTTCTCTTTCCTTCTTTCCTTCCCTCCCTCTTTCTCTCCTTTTTTCCTTCTTTAACTCTTTCCTTCTTTCCCTTTCTTTCCTTTTTTCCTTTCTCTCCTTTCTTCCTTCTCTACCTCTTTCCTTCCTTCCTTTGCTTTTTGCTTCCATCCTTCCTTCTCTTTCCTTCTTCCCTTCCCTCCCTTTCTCTCCTTTCTTCCTTCTCTACCTCCTTCCTTCTTTCCCTTTTCTTTTCCTTCTCCTTTCTTCCTTCTCTACCTCTTTCCTTCCTTCCTTTGCTTTTTGCTTCCATCCTTCCTTCTCTTTCCTTCTTTCCTTCCCTCCCTTTCTCTCCTTTCTTTCCTCTCTACCTCTTTCCTTCCTTCCTTTGTTCTTTCCTTCTTTCTTTCACTCCCTCTTTCTTTCTTTCTCCTCTTCCTTCCTTCCTTCCCTCCCTCCCTCTTCCTTCCCTTTTTTTCTGCATCGTAATTTAGCTTTTCGTCATTTATATTTTTGGGGTTTTTTATGTCCTTTCTGCTGTTTTTAGGGGGTTTTAATGAGTGACGGTCACTTGTTGGTCTGTTAGGGGTGTAGTGTCCAAATTTCGTGTCAATTCGTCCAGTCGTTTTTGAGTTCGAACATTAAATTTTTATTGATATAGATTATTATTATTATTAAACCGAAGACACGCATCATAAATTCATGTTAATAATAATAATTATTATAATAAACCCTGGGCTTGACCTTTAAAGCATGTCTGAATGGCTGAATCCCAACCCTAATGGTAAGAGAACTCTTTTGGGGGAGGCACCCCCTTCCTCCCGCTCAGGTGAGGTTACCTGTCCGTCCTTTGAGGGCAGTGCTGTCCAGGCAGGTGCACTGGGCGCCCATTTCGCCCAACGTCCAGCTCCCTTTTGCTCCTTCTCTAGCAGGCCTGGGCCAGCCTCAGCCCTCCAGGTGTTTTGGACTGCAACTCCCACAATTCCTCAGTGCTGGCATCCATCACCCGGGGACCAAGGACCAACACAGGTTGCCAGGGAGACGGTTGCTAGGGAAGCAACTCATCTGCCTTGCTTCACAGAGCATCTGCAAGGGAGGAGGAGGATGGGAGGGTGCCAAGGATGGTTTTTGGAGGACTACAACTCCCATAATCCCCTTCAGAAAGGGATGGGAATGAAGCTGTTGTGCTCAGTAAGCAGCTGAGGATTTTTCTGATATTTCAGAGGATGAGGGGATGAGGGGATTTCAAGGGGAGCGGTCAGAGAGAATTGCAGGCAGGTGAGGTCGATGTTTTGGATCCCACGGAGGGTGGTGTCGCCTTCTCTCCTTGGAGAGAACGTCCGAAATGGGGGGCGTGGAACATCTCTACCATGCCGAATAGACATCCCATTCGTATCCATACAACGTA